TCCCTCAGGCAAATGGTGTCGGGGAGACAGCGGGTCTATTCTTCTCCCCACAGTAGGACCCCAGCACCCTCACATAGAGTGTTGAGCAATCAATAATATATCCTTGTAAAGGTTTGTTTGTTTTAGTATCCAGAAGCCATGAGTTGTTAACCCTTCGGCTCGGTATTATGGATATCGCAACCTTTCAGCCTTGATTCCATTGTAAATGCTGTAAATATGGGAGAAATGTGGCTTTTCTGCCTACCCCCAGGAGTGAACCCGGACCACAAGGAGTTCGTCACCCAGTCACCGTGCAGTCTGGTTTAGCTAACTACGCTAGAGAGCCGGGCCCTTGTGAGGGTTACTACACACGCACACACAAAACTGTTTAACTCACATCATCGTAAACAAAGGCAACCTGCACGTTTGCATTATATTTTCCTTTCCTATACACTCCCAGTCGTGTCTTTGTAGTCCCGGAGGCGTCTTTGCTGATTTCCACTCCTATCACTTGATCGAGGGAAACAATGGCTCCATTTGAAAGCAGATTCCAAAACTGTATACAGATAATGCAAATAATTGCAAAAGTTTATAGCTATGAAAAGTGTCTACTTAGTTCAGTTAATCAGTTCGTTTCATTAAAGACAAAGTAGTACACATGACCCTGCCTATACAATCATAGGAATGACAGTGTAGATTATTAGTAAAATAAACGCACTTTTTTTTTAAACACTTTTTTTTTTTAAAATGCACACAAATTTACTGAACGAAAAAGGAAAGCAGATCATCATATAATTTAATGTCTTTATGTTTTTGGGAGCTCGATAACTTATCAGTAAAAATAAATTGAAGGAAAAGTTTTAATCATAGCAGCAAACCAACTGAACGGGCTAAATAAAAGCGTATAATAAAGAATCCTTTTCACTCCGTTGACGCTTCTGGTCCATTAAACTAGGCCCATTCAATAGGTAAAGTGGTCAACATCACCATGGCTACCTTTACTTCCCATGACAATGCCTGGTACAGGTCAGTTTTTAAAATCTCTCTGGATGCGGATTTGTGCCCACAAATCTTCGGTTGGCTAGGAAAACGTCATTAGTATGGTAAACTGTTTACGAACAGTGCTGTAGGGTTAGTAAGGAAATATGACGTTATAAAATTAATAAATGTAGGTTCTAATGTGTAAAAATGAAAATATAAAAAGGTTAGGTCATGGATAGATAGCTCTCCCAAAGTTTTCTCTGTGACGGCTTTATGACGGGTGCATGTGATCAAGCAAATACTGTCGCTGTGAGAGGAGATTTGAAAATGAATATCCAAGTTCATTATGCAGCAGGTCCTTTGTAGAACGACGCTCTCATGAGGTTCCGCCTGAAAGAAACTCGGTCTCTCGCCAGCTCTCCAGCCTCATGAACTTTCACACTTAAGGAGTCACTTACATCCTCTAACAATCTTCGTGTTGGTAGGCCCTGTCCTTCCTTCCTGGTACCATGCCTTCTACCATGCATATATATATGCTGTAGTGCCATAACTTGTGTTGCCCCACCCCTGAAATAGGTTGGATGTGTATAGTGGCCGCGGGATTCCGCCTAGAGTATTACGAGCCGACATTCAACATAAATACTATTTCAGAGTGCTGTTTGTTCCTAGGAGAAATCCTTAACCAGGCACGTGACACGAGCGATATGTGACAGGCTGTAAGTTTTATCTGTGGACATTATTTTCGTTTTCTTTAAATTCAGGAACATATTTTCATCTTCGCTGTGCTTTTGGACATACATGATTAAATTTTTTACTACCTATAGACTGTTCGAAGAACATCAAAGTAAAAGCAATAATTTACAAGCAGTATGGCGGTGTTTACCAAAGAAACACTGTTGATATTGCATGACAATGCAAGGTACCTTCTGTTTTCAGGAATACCAATGCACACATGGCAGCTGTTTTGGCGCCGTGGTTAGCCTGGTTTCCTTTCGGACAGGTGGCCATGTGTTCAAATCCCCATATTTTTAATGTTGACCTAGGCAATACCAAAATTGTCAACTAAAGAGACGGAAAAAAAGTGTTGAAGTGCTATATATTCCCTGTGCTGGTATACGCATGTGAAACGTTGACATTAGGCAAACAAGTAAACAAAATGCCAAGTTTCAACGGAGATATGGTTTGAATATTTGTAACTTTTTTTTTTTTAATTTTTAAAAGAATGCAAAGAATATCATGAAATATTCGACAAAATACTCGAGTTAGTCCTAATACGGAGAGATTGGGGGGAAAAAAACGCCCTCAAATTAACTGAAAATTAGACTTAGATAGTCAGTGATTATTGTTATTTTTTATTGTTATTTTTTTTTTAGTACACATCTAATGAGAAATGCTGACTCCGGAACTTCGTGAGGACTTGCAAGATTGATGAAAAAAGAGGAAGGGGGTGAACAAATGTGATGTTCTGGATGGCTTTGACGTTTGGACGTGAAATGACAGGAGCACTAACCTATACCGTGATTGTAGTAATTGTGTGAAATCGCTTCTCGGCAAGGCACATGATGATGTTGACTTAGGGTTAGCCAGACACATTGAGCATTTAGGGTTAGACCTATATTTTATAGACCAAGCGATATCAGTAGGTGATGTGGTCGGCATTACGCCGGCCGCCTTTACTTGCCAGTACTTTACCTGGTAACCATTTAAGTCCGACTTCGTCAGGAACTAAACCCACGACATACATGACCTATCCTCAAACGGTGCCATGAATCTTTGGATATTTGACAGCAACACCTATTGAGTTCCGCGTGTCCTACGTTATGGGGCTTTAAACCTTATACCTTTTATCTCGTACAACCCATGTGATCTATTGCTCACAGCTGCCAAACTGCCAGTTACACCTGTACTTACAACTTTTGTCATGTAGGCAATGGGATCTTTGAGCCTGAGGTTAAGGCCACATGTATAGTGCAGTCGCCATGCAGTGTGCAGTTTGGGATTTTATTTTTGCTTCGAAGTGACTTTACAGACGACTCGAACCTCGGTCTTCCACATAACAGCCCAGTGCTCTTACATATTCTAGCAAAGGTGTACAAAATACATACCTGTTGTGAGACCTGGGTACGACTGCATAATGAGGCCGACAGAAAACGTTCTGCATTTCTGTTAATACACATGTTCGTTTCTTCATTTTTAATCTGCAAATAAACATCAAAGATGCCACAACACATTTCACAATAGAACGTTTGGAAGTATTTAAGTACAAGCAGTTTTTCTCAATGCTCAGTCTCCGAAAACGCAGATAGCTAAGACACAAGTATAAGGTGAATGATGGTAGAGCCTCTAGTACAGCGGTTCTCAACGGTGGGTCGCGATCCCTTTAAGGGGGTCGAAGGACCGTTTCAAAGGAGTCGCCTAAGACCATTGGAAAAGGCATATTCACTGAAGTTATGAAGTAGCAACGAAAATAATTTTATGGTTTGGGGTCGCCACAACATGGGGAATTGCATTAAAGGGTCGCGGCTTTAGGAATGATGAGAACCACTGTTCTAAGACGTATTCTTTGGTGAGTTACAGATGTGTAGAAAATGTAAGTGACGGCCTCTGCTACGATTTAAAGATGTGTGCAAGCGGGACATGAAGGATACAGGTATTAGGGTGGATTCATGGGCTCGGGATGTCATAGTCGGCATTCAACTGGAGATGGGGGAGGGGCGAGGGAAAACTAGGAAGAGATAATGGAGACAGGAGAAAATGACTGTAGACAGGTTAAGAGCAAAGGGTGTGAGAAGAAAACGCATCAAAACATATGATGAAGAGTTGCCATAACTCCAAATGTTTGCGAACACGCCCTCATGTCACAAGTAAGTCTGAGCATCAGGAAAACTTTTTTGACTTTCGCAGATTTTTCTGCAGTTTTACAAGCCAAGACAAAATTAACGTTATGTGACTGTACTGAAAACTGTAGGAGTAGTAAAATGTAATCTGAAATCGGGAAGATAGGGCAGTTCTTCTTTGGCCCACAATGTTTCGATGAAAAGATTATTTTCTTTAATCCATGCTTAGGGAGAGAAATCGTTATAGTGTAGAGAGAAAGAAAACAATAAAGAGATAGAGAGATAAGTAGGAAGGGAGAGAGGCGAAGAAACACGGAAAAGGAGAAAAGAAAGAGAGGGTGAAAGAGGAAGAGAGACACGGAAAAAGGGAGACAGAGAACGGAAGTTTGTACCTATCTCTGTGTTTTGGGCTATTTGACACATGCTATGGAAGCACATCTGTAAGCAAACGTAAGTAAACGATCTTTTTTACGCCAGTGCCGTATCGGACACATGGTGCTGGATTGACATTTGTATACACTAATAGTCCCTTGCTGATTGATTTGTTCAGCATCAAGCCTGCCGCCTTAACGTCCCTGGCTATAGCCATTTTAGGCTCTGTCAACATGGGAGCTAAAATCATAAGATTTGGTGCGGACTGGAACCCAAGTATGGCAGCGAATCTTTAAATGTCACTGAACAAATAAGAAAGAATTCAGAAACAACAGAGATGAGGTTTCTGAGACGAATGTTACGAAAACCTTGGACGGCCAGAGTAACTAACAACGATGGCTTGAAAGAAACTAATGAAAGTTGATCTCTATATACAACAATAAGAAAGAGACAAACACTGTTCTTTGACCACATAATGAGAAAAGAGACATTGAAGAACATCGTGACAACTGGAAGGATCAGTGGAAAAAAAGAGTAGAGGCAGACCAAGGGACACGATGCTGGATGGACTGAATCGATGGCATGGGGGATATCATCAAGATATCCAGGCAACCAGGGATCGTGATCTGTGGAGACGCATGAGCGCCGACGTCAGTTGGCAGGGCACATGATTATGATGATGATGATGAGGCGAACCATCTAGCCACTACACCATCGCAGCTCGCTAATACACCTGCACCAAATATAATGTCTAGTACACGAAAAAGAAGACTGGATATGATGACCAACGCCACAGTGTGTCGACTAAAACGTTTGTTTCCCCCAGCTTACCTGCCCCGCGTAGACGCTGTTGATATCCATATCCGTCTTCAGCTCTGGGTAAACGTTTTCCACATACCAGCCAAAGTCGTGGCACTGCAGTGAGTCCCGCAACTGTACCCTGGAGCTGACATTCCCATAGTCTGGCTGTTGATAGAAGATAAGACACGGGTTTCACATAGTATTCTTTTCTTTTCCTTTGCTTTCAACAGCTGTAAACTCTGGTGTAAAGTTCTGGTTGTTCGCCAGCAGTCCTGTTCCAGAACCTGAATGTTGCATGTGTATCCATTTGACAGATCTGACACATTTGTGGGCAGACTGTTGGTTTCTTGCCACTCAGGCAGACGCATTCCGACTTCAAAGGAAGCTCCCAATTAGTCGACTCTTATGATATGCTTTTTGCGTAGGCAGTGGGTCTATTCTTTTTTTCCCTAGAATAGGGCTCCAGAACGCACACGGGGGTACATAGTATTAACATTGATCTGTTTGAGACATTTTCATTTATTGTGAACAGAGAGAGAAAACACACACACACACACACACACACACAGAGAGAGAGAGAGAGAGAGAGAGAGAGAGAGAGAGAGAGAGAGAGAGAGAGAGAGAGAGATGATACATAAGAGACAGAAAGCTGGATGGAGAGAAATACTGAGAGAGGGAGACAGAGAGAACGATAACGAGCAAACGAACTTTATTTCCAAACGGTTTTAAATGTTGCACGCAGGCTCGTCTTACATTTGACCCTTGCTAGCACTCTTCTCTCATACGGCAGTTGCATTTGATATATCAAGCATATTTTTTTCAAATGAGAGAGAGAGAGAGAGAGATAGATAGATAGAGAGAGAGAGAGAGAGAGAGAGAGAGAGAGAGAGAGAGAGAGAGAGAGATTATGATATACTAATCGAGCAAAATACAGACAGATATAAACCGACAGAAACCAAGCGCGAAAATAGAGAAGAACATAGAGCTACTGTCACAGACGAGCCTTCTAATCAAATATACGAAGAACAAAGATAGAGTAGTCAGAAGACAAGTGGAGGATTCATCTTTTGAACCGCACGTTAGTTAAACGTGCAGCAGCTACAGCTGAGTCGGATGTTGTTCAAACAGAAAATATTTCCTAAGCTGACGATAAGATGGAAATTAAAATAGAGCAGATGCAAAATAAATTTGGAAAAACACACACACACACACACACACACACACACACACACACACACACGCACACACACAAACACAGACACACACACACACACACAATGAAAAGGGGTTGCGAGCACATATAAAACATACTGAAACACACTTAGAAACTTCTAAGGCGGGTGAGGAAGCAAAGGAAGCCAAGCTAAGAAGTCCCTTTTGTCCCATTAATTATACATTGCTAGAGCTACATATTAAAGAGTAATGTACAAGGGGAAAGTGAAGGTAAAAGTACTAATGAACTGAACGTCGCCGCCGTCAAACGATCCTACGAATTTCAGAGCGCGGGGCAAACCGCTAGATCACTTTGCCACGGAGACCCCTAACGAGTAATGTGGATGTCTTGAAAGAGATCGACTTTATTGCACCATGTTTTATCCCATATGGTTCAGTATCTCTCCGCAGAACAGCTAGCTGCCTGCATAGGACGTCGCACAGAGCACGAACTTCGTAGCTCCGGCGACGATCCACATGGATCTGCGTACAATCTGAAATCGTAAACTGAACGTGACCGCCGTGAAACGATCCCACGACTTTCAGAGCGTGAGGCAAACGGCTTGATCACTTTGCCACGGAGACCCCTAAAGAGTAATGTAGATGTCTTGAAAGAAACTGACTCACGAAGAGAACTGATCGCCCACATCAGAAGGAAAACAATCTACATTCTTTGGTCATTTAATGAGAATAACGATGGGGAAGATGGAGCGGAAAAGAGGCAGAGGGAGACCGAGAGATGAGGAAAGTGCTGGACAGTTTGACATCATGGTTGGAAGATCTTTTGTGTCAGAAGTGATTGAACGTACGCGAGACAGAAAGTTGTGGATAAATACAAAGACCACACACGGCATGGACTATAAGAGGAACCATATTTTTTACTGTTACTGATTTTGGGCTTCATGTATGTAGAAGGGTTGGGGAATACCCGAATCGAATGCTGGGATTCGAACAAAGGTATGACCAGCGGGCAGGCTGGCTGCCATCAAGACATCTTTGGGGTGTAATTCTCTCGATTTCTTACATGGAGTTTAGCCTAGCGTTTTTAGTTTCTCATAAGTTTTTTTAAAATGTTTCCATTGGAGGCTCCCCCCTCCCTCCCCCCTTTGCTTTTATCTCAGACTGTTTCACATTGTAGTGCTTGTTTTGCAATTCTTTGCTCATTTAGTCTCAACGTGTGCCCAAAATATTTCCACCTTCTTTGCCTCATTGCAATGGATGCTGGTATTTGTCAAGGCATTCCTTTAATGTCCTCAATTTTTTTTTATTCATCCCAGTTTATGCTTATGATTTTTCTCTTACATTATTTTCAAAATACAAAAGGATTGTGAGATAACAGATAATAAGGTAATTCCTCTCCAATTATTGCAGTCGTTATTATTATTATTTTTTATTTGTTTAATGGGAAATTAATATAATAATGTGTTTGAAAAAATATGAAATAAACAATGTGTAAACAAATACTTCAAATAGAACGATGACACGTCGGCAATTTGCGAATCTTCTGACCTGCCCCCCCCCCTTTTTTTTTGACACCACCACCGTCGCCTAAAATTACTTGGAGAAAAACAACAAAGGGGTGGGGGGGCGGGCGGGGGGGGGGGGGAGGTGCTCAATGTACATGAGCTCCTAGGTTCCCAGATCTATGCCACTGGGTAATTCATCTGATAAAGATTATGATAAGGTTAATAACACTGATGATAATTATTATGATGTTTTGGATTGATTAAAGCATTCTACTTTTCCCCAGACCAGTAATTATCGGATCTAAGCAGAACCATAAAATGAATACTGGATAATTTTTCAGTGTTGAAAGATGGAGAAAGGTGGCTATATGGTACCCGGTCACCCCACCGTAGTCAGTCGTAATCTAGAATATTCAAAGATTCCATTAATGACGATAATGCTAGTCATAACGCTCATCTAAACATTTTAACATCGACGTTAAAACAATAATGAGAAACAAGACGAAGTAAACAAAACAGATTGAACAACAAGTTAAAAGCAATGTAAACAGAACTTACGATATTATAAACAATCTTTTCATAAAAGAAGTGCTTGTATTGATCCATCCAGACTTCAGATACCCTAACAGCGTTCTTCAACGTCATGCCTCTGCCGCTGTCACGTAAAGCTGGGTTCATACCTCTGAATACGTGTCCCACGTGTGAGCAAGGCACCAGAAGTATGGACCCACCACACATCCACACCTGCATTCAAAGAATTTCTTATCATTTGTAAAATATCTATGTGTGTGTGTTTCTTGTGTGTGTGTGTGTGGGGGGGGGTGTTTGGTGTGTGTGTGTGTGTGTGTGCCTGCGCGTGTGGATGTGCATGTGTGTGTTCATTCAGCTACCAAATTCATTTATTTAAATATTTTTCTTTGAAATGGCAACATTTGACGATCAAGATTTCAGCTTATTTGCCTAATGTTTCACATGCATAAAACAACACAGATTTTACACAGCACTTTAATATTCTTTTTCTAACTGCAGTTGACATATTTTTTAGTGTGAATGAATCTTTTGCATCTTACTGAAGGCAACTTTTGCCACAGCGATTTTTGTTATAATTTCCGTAAGGCTTCTTGCATCAGATGTTATTACTGTTCCTAAAAAGTTGTATCTACTGCATGTATTTCACACTTCGATAGTTTATTTCCTCTTCATGGTAATGACCATATTTCCATCTTCTTACAGTTTAATTCCAAACCTAGTTTCTCACTGTAAACTATTACTGCATCCTCTAAATATTGAACATCCTTTTTCATTGTCCGCAGTTAATACCTACTATCTGCATATCTGATATTGTGAATGTTACATACTCCCACTAATAAGACTATGTTGATTGTTGAATTAAGAATCGACATCACAGGACACACCCATAAGCCCTCCATCTCCATCTGCAACAGCAAGAGTTCCAATTCCGATGGTATCAGTGACTGTCTGGCTGTACATCCGTCTCGCATTTCCCCTGAGTGTTGAGCGTCGGCCAGATCCCCTGGTAACTCCTCGTAGCGCCATTCTCCTCAGACCGTAATGATCTATTAGTGCCTCCGCCCTGTTCAATCGCTCCCAAAGGACCTTCCCAACCTCTAGCTTGTAACGCCTCAATTTACCACCAAGTGGTGCAGAACCGACCAGTGTATCTGTTACCTGTTAACCTGTACAATCGTAGATTGACATCTCATCAGGTGTGTTACTACAGAGCTAAATCAACATAAAATATAGCACACTACTGAATAAATTCAACTGAAATTCGAATAGTTTCTTCAATTTATTGTGAGGCATATTTCGCTGTATCTCATCAGGTGCGTTACTACAACACCCAGGACACTCCCATAAGCGTTCCGTCCCCATCTTCAACAACAAGAGAGTAGTTCCAATTCCGATGGTACCAGTAACTGTCTGATTGACATCTGTTATGTTTTTATAACTGTCAATGCCAGCGGTTTCTTTCTCCTGTATTACTTATCTACGTATGTCTAAAGAAGGGCAGCGACCTGGGAGGCCTCAAGAGAAAGGGCAGCTGGACAGCTTAGGTGGCTAGACAGATCTGCATTACGGACCCTTTACCTAGAGAAATTGTTTCCTGCCGTCATTGTTTATTCCTTGCTTACCTTAAAAGATATCTCCAGGTTTTCAGCACCCCATATGTCCATACCTGGATCGTATTTTCCCAGCTGGCGAAAGAAGTCACGTGATATAGCGTAGAGACCTCCTGGCATGGTTGGTGACCTGGGTAGAAATAGTTGCTCCAGGATCAACACAGGATGAGGTTAGGGACCATTGAACAGTTTCTTTTTCTATTACAATCTCTTCACATTCACTAGTGAAATACTTGTTAACACCAACGAAGTTATGTTCATTTGCTGACAACAGACAGTTCAGTGATTAAAGAGATAGTCAGATATTCAATGAAGCAAACCAGTTTACATGCACACAAACACACACTCATACACACACACTGTCGCGCGCCCACGTGGGTAAATACACTGAAATAGTGAGGGTGTGGGTTTGAACCTTAACAATGCCCACCCACGTGAGAAACTGGACTATTATCTAAGCTATGTTGATCCTAGACAGTCCTGGATAGCCAAGAAAACAGCGAGTGGCTCGTTCCATGAAATGAAAGTTGCTGTACTTGTATCCACAGGAGAAGGAGAAGGGATAGATAGATATCTGGATACACCCACTGTGATATAATCCAGGTGCTCAGTTAACCCCTGCGACTGGTCTCCTCTCCTGGCATTACTTAAAAGCCCCATCAAGTGATTTAAATATTTGTTAGCTGAAGTAAACTAATATGCACAAAGACACTTGAACCTAAGTACACAATTTACTTAACTCTGTGTAACAACATCAAAAAGATTTATTTAATAAATCGAAATTAAAATGAACTTGTTTAGGCTAGTAGAGTTGGGATGATGTTATAGATGACATTAAAGTTGTACATAACTTAGCTCATCAGGACAGTTCTCGGCTTAAGACCCTGCCTATCTTTTCCAGTTTGTCGTCCTCACTGCTTTCTGCAGGTCGTTACACTCGACGGTCGGCAAATAATGGATGCCTACTAGTCCCTGCCCAATGTGGGAACTGGAGAATGAAGAAACAAGCGCATATTTGTAGTATCTGCTCTAGATGTACCTAAGCATGTATATTATACTAACATCAAGCATGTTTATTTAAATAAAACATTTTATCTCTCCCTCATGCTCACATTCACTCCTGTCCAATTTGGAAGGGCTTATGTCTCACATTCCAACTGTTACATCTTCTGCCTTCCTCTACACGTCCTGTAATGATAGTCAAGTCTTCTACGTCAGGTGCCAGCTCTCGTACAGACTCAAAATGACAATCAGTCAGACAGAACCAGTTCTGGAATCTATGCTTGGAACAATCGACGCGACCAGAATGCTAACCATAGTTCTGGTGCGAATCAAATAACAAATCTCGTGGATTTACTCTCCGGGATCAATCTCCGCATTAGCCTCCCGAGAGTTAAACACATTTCAGTGTGTTAGCTGTATGCAATACAGATTCACATTAACCACACGTGAAAAGATTGCCAAAGTTATCTTCACGCTTGTGATTTCAAAAACATGATAGTTCATTAAATTTCAATGGCAACAACAACATTTAGGTTTTACAACATTGAAACACATGTACACGAAAAACATTCATGACACTATCAAATAGGAAATAAAGCAATGTGACAGTGCCCTACGAGAATGAAGAAATGTCCGCCTAGGAGTACTACAAAGTGATGAAGACACACACTTGAGCAAAAAGACAGATCTCTATCATAAAATATAGATGTGAACCTAATTTCGATCTTACCTGGAAAAATGAAACCACGATGCCAAAAGTTCTGTCTCAAGCTTAGGTTAAGCCCAACAGATGGCATGTGCTAGACAGGATCTCATTTACCAGACCTTAAGTTCAGCCCTTTATAACTTTTATCAAGCTCCTCCTACATTACGCCTAAAATCATTCTCATTCAGGGATATTACAGCTCCTCCCTTGTGGGTGTATATTCACTGTCAGTCAGTGACTGTACACCAATTGTTTGAATTCCCACGCTAGGATCTCCTGGTTCAATTAAGCTGACCAGAGCAAATAAGACAAGTCACACCTCCAGTCTACTTCACCTGTCATCACAATAAAATCCGACTTTGTCAATTCTTCTGCCAACACTTTCCGCTCACTGTGTCAATAGTGACCGTCGGACCTGCCGTCGAGTTAGGTAACCTCAGGGGGAATTAAACACAATTAGCCGGAGTTAGCTGCTCCTAAAAGTCTGGCTACGAGATAAAATATCTGACACCAACAGATGGTGTGCAAATCTCCAGTCAGTAAGTCTGCTTGGTCAGTCTTATCTCTGTACCTTAACACTTAACATCTGGGAAAAAGTTTTAGTGTGTGATATCGCCAACATCCCAGGAGAATTAAATGCTTGTTTATTTCGCCTACTTAGATTAAGGATGTATCCAAATCCCTATTTGTCTGTATGCTTCAAAATACATACAAATAAAAGTAGGTTGAGGAAAGTCATTCTGAAGTCACCGCGCGTATTGTCACACACACACATATATATATATATATATATATATATATATATATATATATATATATATATATATATATATATATATATATATATGCGTAGCGGCTGGTCCCTCGCCTGCGGATCGGAAGGTCGTGGGCTGGGGTACTGACGGAGCCAGACTTATTTTTAATGACCTTGGCTCCCAGGTCGACCCAGCCTTGAATGGGTACCAGATATAGTCCTGGGAAATAAAAGGTAGCCGGCGTGATGTTGATCACATCACCCACTTACCTATACATTATAGGTCTAGCCCTGTATGCCCAATAAGCCTGAAGGATTGCACAATTCATCGTCTTGCAAACTTCGCTGTATACTGGCAGGTGCACACTAAAGTAACAAATGATTAAAATTAAGCAAATAATAAGCAAGTAACTGAATCCCTCTACCTGAAACACAACGTCGACCACATTCGAAAGTACGTCCCAGTTTTACTAGGGAAAACACAGGTTCAGCACTATGTCCTTCTGTCTGCATAAATCTGGACGGACCTGTTTATTGTTGTGACTTTTATTGCTATCTTCTTTGTTCATACATACACATGTATACACCACACACAATAAAAAGGATTGCACTGCAAGGTTTGTACCAAGGAATGAAATGTCTATTAGGAAATTCGAGCCCTTTGCAATGTATACACAGCACCACATAATGATGAATGGTAATGATAATGGCAATTACGATGACTTGTAGCGGGTAAATAGATATAGAAAATAAGTTAATGTGAATTTAATGGCACTTATTACGTTTTGCTTAATGTCCTTATCGACACCCAGTCACATCGGTCCAACCTTTTAGGGCTCTGTTTTTAGCTGCAGCAGCCATCTCACTATCTCCATGCGCAAGGTACCCAGTAGGAGTTCACTGGCATATCTTCTTTAAAACTCAACCGGTTCGTTGTGCGCTTGTTCTCTTTTAATACTAATTTCCAACAGACGGTTTCTGGTCATTGACTCACTTGTATCAACGTCTCCAATGCAAAGAAGCTCAACAACTTTCATACAGTCTAGGGAAAATACTGAAAATCCGGTAGCAAGACAGAGCCTTGGATACTGTTGAACAGGAAAGAGCCGGCATTCCCAGCATCGATATCATCCTGACACAGTTCACAGATTCGATAGGAAGGTCACGTAGGTCTCCCAGTGCCGCCCCCCCCCCCCCTTTCCCCCTACCCCTTCCCCAAAATAAAATTTAAAAAAACGCTCTAAGGACGCAGTAAAATAATTATTTAAAGCCTTTGATATGCGCAGTGGCACTGGGTAGGCTGCTATAGAAGGCTGGACTGGGGCTGCATGGTCTCCAGGCGTGGCGTCCGCCTCGAGTGCTAGAGGTTCCAGGTTCAATCCCCGGTAAGGACTGGGATTTTTTCACGTGGACCTGGACTTCTTGTAATTCCCCCTGGTCTCTGTATAGTGAGATCGGACGCCCGTGTGCATTGTAGAGCACGTAAAAAATCCCTTGACAGTTGAAAATCGAAAAGAATAGCTTAATGGCGCTGCCCAGGGAAAATTTGGAGTTAAAAATCTACCCAAAGTATTTCAGGATTCTCGCCGGTGCTACAGAGCTTGTGCACTCTGCTAAGCTTTTTCTGACTCAGACTTGAGTTAGAAGAAGAACGGAGCACTTAATGGGTTACTACCCGTGTGCTATGATGTTGATCCGTTGTTTAAACCTCAAACCACTAACAAAACCTACATGATAAACGTAGATCTGAAGAGGGTCCGCGACCTGCGAAACCTCAAGAGAAAAAGTATTTGAACAGCGAAGGCGTTTAGAAAGACCCGTATTACAGACCCTTTACCTACAAACGCAGTTTCCCTGCCCCTATTGTCCTAGATCAGGGTCCGTATCGGGTTTATAAGTCACCCCCCCCCCCCCCTTCGACCTACAGAACGTAACTATACTTTTCATGACGGATGAATGAAAGAGTGGTACTCATCACTTGTGATGGACGAATAACATCAGCGTCTCTGGAATACAGCGTATTCAGTGTTTCTGCACTGTGTATACTTATTCCTCTAGTAACTACTCAAGACACGACCAGTCTGTCGGTTCTTTCATTTCTTTTCACCCCGGATGCTGTTAACCAATTCTAGTCACAGTTTGCCAGTTTGGATCTTCTTAAGTATGCTTATTGACCGAACCGCATATAACGATTGATTTATATTAGGTAAAAAGGCAGGCAGAGATGTAAATTTATGGATAGATAGGTACCCACTGTAAACTTACTAAAACGCTATTCTTAGTAAAAGTAAAGGACCTTTTCCCACGCCTTTAGGCGTATAGGGCATATAGGGCTAAACCTATAATTTTATAGACTAACGGCACAAGATGGGTGATGTGGTCAGCATCATGCCGGCCGCCTCTACTTCTCGGGACTGCACTCGGTACCCACTGGGTCGACCTGGAAGCCAAGGTCATTCTTTAAAAGAAAAGTCCGGCTTCGCCAGGGAGTGAATCCACGCGCCTCCGATCCGCGGTGCGCGTCTAGCCGCTCCGCCACGGCAACTCCCTAAACGTTACTTATACTTACGGTTTATTTTTGTGGTTATCTACACCTGGTGATACTCGTGAATACAGCCAGTCAAAAGACAGAGAACTGAGTCTGAGACCTCCTGTGTGAGACGGACCGTTGTTCATTCCAACGGCGAATGTCGTAGCACTCAGAAACTCGATCAAAGGAAAAGTCACAGCTTTGTTATCAGCATGGATAGGTGCCAGCAAGGGCTCCAGCCATCCTGTGTTAACAAAACAAAAGAACAAAAGAATGAACATTTCTAACACTTGAAGCCAGTTTAGCATATGATTTTAGCTCAGTTAGAACGAATCAATAATATTTTTTTTTTTAAATCTTAAACTGGGTAAAGGTAAAATCGGGAGATGTGAACCAGCGTCATTGCACACGTTTATAAACCATAAGTGCTCTGCCACAAGTATGGACAGCTGATAAGAATTGTTCGCCTGGGTCGCCGTTCGCACGTAACTGTAGCTGCAGCGACGTTCCTCCATTTACCCCAGAGTGGTACCCATTTCCTGGAGGCTGGGTGAACCCCGTGAACCGCCCGGTTTCGAACACCAACCGTAGCTGCAGCGAGTCGCAGCTGGATTTCAAAGCGAGCCTCTCATTTACTGCGCTAACACGGCCCTCTCAACCTTGGTAAACAAGCCTGTCTTGCATTCGGCCTTTCAAAACACTCATCTTTCACACTGCAATTGTACTTCTTCAAACATGTTCTGTTCATTTACCAATATAGTACTGTGAGTATCAAGTAAAATACACAGAAACATGACTGATAAACGCATACATTAAAATGTACAGTCATACCAGACACGAATACACTCATACGTACATATAAGCACACATATTGTGACGACACGCTCGGTGACTTCAGAATATGTCTTTCCTCAACCTACTTTTAATTCTATGTATTTTAAAGTATACAGAAAAATATGGATTTGGACATATCCTAAATCTAAGTCGACTACCAGAACAAACCTATTTAATTCTCCTGGACTGCTGGTGATATCAAACACTGAGACTTTTCCCCAGATGTAAAGTGTTAAGGTACAGATAAGACTAAGCAGGTAGACTTCGTGGCACCAGTGAAATTGAAAACTCAGACTTAGTGGCTGGAGATTTTGCTTGCAGAACTGAGGTGTCTGATAATGATCTCCTAGCCAGACCTTTAGGAGCAGATAACTCAGGCTAATTATGATTATCTTCCCCTGAGGTTACCTAACTTGAGTGCAGGTCAGATCGCCAGAATTGACATGGTCTGGTGGAGGTGTTAGCTGAAAAACCTGGCAGGTTGAAGACGGGATGGAAGGTGTGACTTTGCTTATGAGCTTTGACCACCTTGATGGACCAGGAGAATGTAACCGTGGGAATGCAAACAAGTGTTGTACAGTCCTGACTAACAGCGAATAGACTTACCAACGGGGAGGAGCTGTGACATCCTTGAATGAGAGTGGTTTTAGGAGTAATGTGGGAGGAGCTTAGAAGAAATAAAAGGGTGGACCTGGGGCTGGGAAGTGAGACTCTGCCATTAGCACACAATCTGTTTGGCTCAAACCCTAAGCTTGAGACAGAACTTTTGGTATTGTTTTTTTCATTTTCCAGGTAAGCGACACTATTTTTAACCTTTATTTCATGATAGAAATCTAACTGTCTTTTTGCTCAAGTGTGTGTCTTCATCAATTTGTAGTACTCCTTAGCAGACACTTCTCTATTTTCTTAGGGTACTGTCACATTGCTTTATATCGTAATTGATATTGTCATGAATGTTTTTTCGTTCACATGTGTTTCAATGTTGAATAACGTAAATGTTGATGTTACTATTAAAATTTAATGAACTATAATTTTTTTTTCTCTGAAATCGCAAGCGTGAAGATAACTTTGGCAGTCTTTTCACGGGTGGTTAATTTGAATCTGAATTACATACAGCTAACACACTGAAATGTGTTTAACTCCCGGGAGACTAATGCGGAGATTGATCCCGGAGAGAAAATGACTGAGATTTGTTATTTGATTCGCCCCAGAAATATTCTAGCATTCTGGGTGCGCCCATTATTCTAAGCATTGATTCCAGAACTTGTTCTGTCTAACTGATTGTCATTTTGAGTCTGTACGAGAGATGACATCAGACATATAAGACTTAACTATCATTGCAGGGCGTGAGTAGATGAAGGCAGGAAATATAACAACTACAATGTGAGACGAAGTCCTTCCAGACTGGACAGGATTGAATGTGAAAACTAGGGGGAGATTAAATGTTTTATTAGAATATACATGTTTGGTATTATTATAATAAACATGTTTGGTGTACGTCTAGATTAGATACTACACACATGCGCTTGTTTCTTTACCACAGTTCCCACACTGGGCAGGGACTAGTAGGCATCCATTCTTTGCCGACCGTCTGCGTGTAACGACCTGCTTGAAGTAGCGAGGACGACAAACTGGAAAAGGATAGGCAGGGTCTCAAATTGAGAACTGCCAGAGGTTTTTTTTTTCCCTCAAATTTTATGAGTTATGTATACATTTCATAAGTAACACCATCTTTACTCTACTAGCCTAAACACGTTCATCTTATTTTTGGTTAGATTTATTCAAAAATCTTGTTCATGTTGTTTCAAAGTAGTTGAGTAAATTGTGTACTTAGGTTCAAGTGTCTTTGTGCCTACTAGTTTACTTTAGCTCACAAATATGTAAATCACTTGATGGGGGCTTTTATTACAAATTAATACAAGGAGAGGAGAAAGTCGGAAGGGGTTTACTGTGTATCTTGATATTATCTTTTTGGGTTCATTCGGAGGGGTTTACAATGTATCTTGATATTATCTTATTGGGTTCATCTTGATATATATCTATTCCTTCTTCTACTCCTGTGGATACAAGTACAGCTACTTTCATTTAATGAAACGAGCCACTCGCTGTTTTCTTGGTTATCCAGGACTGTCTAGAATCAACATATAGATAGTCCAGTTTCTCACGTGGGTGGGCACTGTTAGGGTTCAAACCCACACACTTACTATATAAGTGTATTTATCCACGGTGTTTGTGACATATATATACACTAATATACATACAAACACACACAAAATATATATATATATATATATATATATATATATATATATATATATATATATATATATATATATATATATATATATATATATATATTAGCAGACCATTTCGAGATGCCAATGTTGCCTTCTCTATGACTACTAGCAGCATGACGATAGAGGTGATACCAGCTTTCATGTAGACTATAACCTCGTGTGTGGGCTGATTGATTCTGTAAGCATGATCCGGAGGGTCGAGGCGGCTCTGTACACAGACAATGGATTGCGAAACTTCCCTGTGCGAACTGTAGTTACATTCATCTTTCTTCCAAGGTATGCAGTGTTGATGGCAATGAAAGACCTGATAGTAAGGTTGGTTCTGTTTTAGCTGCTGGTGGCCAGCCTATGGATCAGACCGACTTTGTTAATGCCCTTAGAGAGACAGGACGACCCGAGGATTTTGGGAGCAACGTGTCCATATCACTGCTAAGAAAAAGAGAATTTGGAGTAGAGATCGGCACAGTCAAGCATTAGAAGCACACCAGACGTACAAAAAGTCTTGTCAACCAGCACAGGACTGACACAATTAACCGCGGCACATTGGTTTATATGTTGAAGGGGGGATCTCAGCACATATAAGTACGTCCTGCTTTGAAGATAATCCAACTCAAAACTCAGTATACTGGTAGTCCTACAAACATTGGAAGTGACCAACAAGAAAAAGAAGGCTAATCACAAAGATGAATGGAATAGGGTGATATCTCCAGCAATGAACCTCGGAGGCTCGGGAGCTCTGATTGCTGAAGCAGAAGAGTAAAATAAACTACCTGGAAAACATTCAACGTGAGAGTCCAGGAATACGACCACTTCTCCGCTAGCATGATCAAACACTGCATTCCGCGCCCTGATCAGACCTAGTCGCTCTTTGGCTCGAAACAGCCGAACTTTGGGCAACGGCTGCACATATACTTCCAGAGGCTCCTTCAAGTGATCTGAAATTGTTATAATACACATAATAAGTAAGAGGTCCGGATTTATGTCTTTAGGTGCAGATAGCATATGCAACTAGAAGAGGAACTTCGGCCATGAAAATATCCAGAAGTACTAAATACACCACAAAATGTGACTAGAAAATAACAAAAAATACTGGAGGTAAAACAATCTGTGACTAGAAACATCACTCCGTTGTTTGACTTTTCTGATGATAATTTCTGCTGTATTTAGTATCCCACTGATTCACAATGTTTTTTCTTTTTCATTTTCAAAACGTTCGGTTGTATTCGAATGCGCCCTTTCCGTTCCCTCTATTTACCTTTCTAGTAGTAGTACTCATTATTTCATGGAAACTACCCACCACGTGTTATAGAAACTGTGGAAGCCGAGAGGCAATGTTATGTTATGTTATCACGATCGACGTCGTCCTTGCACATTGGGCATTCACACGCGTGCTCAGTCCTCCGATACAGCAACCACTCCGAGGTACCTCTACTGACTGTTCGCATGACAAGTTGGTTATAGTATCTCCTGTCTTTACCTCGAAAACGACATTTAGGTGCTTCACCAAGCTTTATTCTTCGGTCACGCAGGCGTATTACCGTCAGAGATTCGCCGTTATCCCCCAATCTAGTCCGTACAGAGTTGATAACATCAGCTTTGTATTTGCTTCTTCCCGTTTGCAATGGTGCATTACTTGCCAGCTGGCCAGCTCTTTCATTACCATGTTCTCCTGCGTGTCAAAGTGTGTAGATCCAGATGATGGAGGTTAACTGCGACTTTCGTATGCTTTCTACTCATTAGTAACGTAGACTTCCTGTAGCGATTTTCTAAAGCATGTTCATAGGGTCTGAAACGTTTACCGCATGTGTGGTCGCTTGTTCTGCTACCCAGGCGAATGCTCTGTAGGCACTAGAGGCATGCACCCTTTCCCGCTTTCCCAGTCGTCAAAAGGTACAAATCGCCTCGAGTAGGATTCGAAAAGTAACCTGGTCTCTTGGTCGTCACAGGTTAATTTGGGTACTAGATAATGTCCTGGGAAGTAAAAGCAGCCGGTGCGACTGGTACAGAAACAGCTGACACCAGCATCATGGGCTCCATGAGCCAATAAGAAAAAAATGGACCTTTAATTACCATCGTATGTGGACCCAGCCTTATGTAGGTACCAGGTGCAAGTCTGAAAGGTAAAGGCCGCTGGCGTGGTGCTGAGCACATCACACAGCAAATGCCAATTGTTCTATAAAATATAGGTAAAGCCCTGAAGGTGTGGCGTTTTTATACCTACCGTGTTGGGTGAGGAAGCCTTAGTTTCTTACAGATTTCTCGAGGGAGCCTCAAGGTAATTAAACCTTGTTTTACAACATAATAATAAAAAGAATAATACATTAATAATCATTCGCTAAAAAGCAAATAAATGGGGAGGGGGGGGGGGGGGTTGGTTTATGAAATGCATAAAGAAACACTATTAAAAGAAAACTTCTAAGCATGCACTGGAGCCCACAGGGGCTTAGAAATAAAGGAAGACAAAATACACACACACACAAACACACACACACTCACACACACACACATGGAGAAGGGAGCCAGAGAGTGGAGTTAAAAAGATGGGGAGGACATGTGGGCAGCTACATACAATAGCAAAGGACAGAACGACTTGGCGTGAACTGGTTGAGAGCGTATGCTCTATTGGGGATGTAAGAAGACAAAAGAGGAATAGGGAAGTACGAGCTCTGAAACCCCCCCCCCCCCATATACATATTTCGATGTTGGGGGAGGGGGGGTGCTCAAGGTGCATGAACTAAATGTTTAGCGTCTCTGACCTATCTGTAGTATCTACTAGACAATCTTTGCATTAGTTACCATGCACACAGTTATCCTAATATTTAATGTTTATTAAACAATTTTGCTAATTTTATTATGAAAATTATGTTAATGAACACAGTTCTATTTACTATTTTAATGCAATTATACTTACCCATGTTTGAGAAATCATCCAGTAATATAATTTCTTTCAGCAGATGGTCCGAGGTTCTGTCAAGGATGCTATGGATGGTCCTGAGAAGTGTAGTCCAAGCCTCGTTGTAGAACACAATCAAAACTGACACTGATGGCAGGGACGTATTTGCTACTTTCTTACATCTGTTGAAATTAGTTAGGGAAGTAAATTATGTAACTGGTATCTTGGTAAAGTCTTAGATCAGTGCTCTTCAACCTTGTAACTCCCGCGGACCAGAAGAATAAAAGGACTATTTTGTGGACCAACAATTTCTGTATTCTCTGTCATGGAAATCCATACGTGACTCACCAATAATATAATTTATGTACAAAGAAAAAAACAAAGAGGAACGTGGAGGACAAGGAAGAAGATGAGGATCAGGCAGAGAAGCTAGAATTGAACAAGAAGACGAGGATGGAGTGCAGGCGAAACAGAAGAAGAAGAAAAGAAAAGAAGAAGAATAAGAAGAAGAATGCAGAAGAAAGAAGAAGAAGAAGAAGAAGATCAGAATGTAGAAGAACAAAGAAGCGAAGAGAAGAAGAAGAAAAAGAAGAAAAGAAGACGAAGAAGAAGAAGAAGAAGGAAGAAGAAGAAGAAGAAGAAGAAGAAGAAGAAGAAGAATAAGAAGAAGCGAAGAAGAACAGAAGAAGAAAGAAGAAGAAGAAGAAGACGATCCTAGAAGAAGAAATAAGAAGAAGAAGAAGAAGAAAAGAAGAGAAGAAGAGACGAAGTGAAGAAGAAGGAGAAAAAGGAGAGAAGGATATATTATTACTTACTCCTGAGGTCTATTATCTGGTAGTCTCCTATGCACTGCTATCTTCTTGCTGATCCATTCATCGAAGTAATGCACTTTGAAATTCTCTTCTTTCTGTTTCTTCTGTAGTTCTGTTAAAGTGTTTCTTTTGAAAGAAAATCCGTAGCCATTTTCGCCTGTGGATAATGTAAGTGTAGCGAACCGTTGCTTTATTTTATATATATATATATATATATATATATATATATATATTATATATATATATATATATATATATATATATATATATATTAAATTAGCAAAGACACGGAAGAAAACTAGCAAAATGACATCCATTAACAATCTATCCTGAATTTTCATTCACACGCTGGCACAAACGGATCAGTAGCAAATGCTGTTGAGAATTGAAGTACAACGACTCTCCATTGTGAATCGGAAATAGGGCTATTGATTTCAGCCTGCATATGTCAGAGTCCAGTGCGGGTATGGGATATTACGGGGATGATAGTGAATGTCCACGTCTGTACTAAGTGACCACGACATGACCGGTAGCTCAGTGATAGGAACAGATGTGTGTGCTCTGAAAGTGTTGGCTTAGTGTTTTTAGAGGTAGATAATATGTCACTAGCCTACAAGCGAGCTCTATATCGTCAAGGCGGTAAATTAGGTCACTGGCAGCTTGTCACAGAAAGCAAAGAGCAACTTTCCGAAGCGTTGCTGATTACACTGTGAAGTGACCAACGAGAAGTCTGAGGCAAGTGAATGACTGGATATTGTTGCACTGTTAGTTTGACCAATAGCATTTACAATCGGTTCTTTACGTAGCCATAATACTATACTTTAAAAAAAAAGATGTAGAAGAAGAAGAAGCAGAAGAAGGAGAAGGAGGAGGAGGAGGAGAAGAAGAAGAAGAAGAAGAAGAAGAAGAAGAAGAAGAAGAAGAAGAAGAAGAAGAAGAAGAAGAAGAAGAAGAAGAAGAAGAAGAAGAAGAAGAAGAAGAAGAAGAAGAAGAAGAAGAAGAAGAAGAAGAAGAAGAAGAAGAAGAAGAAGAAGAAGAAGAAGAAGAAGAAGAAGAAGAAGAAGAAGAAGAAGCAGAAGGAGGAGGAGGAGGAGAAGAAGAAGAAGAAGAAGAAGAAGAAGAAGAAGAAGAAGAAGAAGAAGAAGAAGAAGAAGAAGAAGAAGAAGAAGAAGAAGAAGAAGAAGAAGAAGAAGAAGAAGAAGAAGAGGAAAGAAGAAAGAAGAAGAAGAAGAAGAAGAAGAAGAAAGAAGAAGAAGAAGAAGAAGAAGAAGAAGAAAGAAGAAGAAGAAGAAGAAGAAGAAGAAGAAGAAGAAGAAGAAGAAGAAAAGAAGAAGAAGAAGAAGAAGCAGAAGGAGGAGGAGGAGAAGAAGAAGAAGAAGAAGAAGAAGAAGAAGAAGAAGAAGAAGAAGAAGAAGAAGAAGAAGAAGAAGAAGAAGAAGAAGAAGAAGAAGAAGAAGAAGAAGAAGAAGAAGAGGAAGAAGAAGAAGAAGAAGAAGAAGAAGAGGAAGAAGAAGAAGAAGAAGAAGAAGAAGAAGAAGAAGAAGGAGGAGGAGGAGGAGAAGGAGTAAAAAGAACTGTCAAATGATTGACTGAACCCTATGTTATTCTTGTGTTTAATCTGAACAATTGCACTCATTTAATTATACAGATTTTGAATGTCAAAGTTTTGCCGCCATATATGCCCCCCCCCCCCCCCGCCCCTCTTTTTGGGTTCTGAACAAGAAAGCATCATTTAATTTGTTGTTGTTGTTTGAAGATATATTATACTTTTACTGCCTTAAGTTTCACTATTTTAGTGTGTCAGGTTATTTACTTTTGTCCCCGACAGAAAAAAAAAAAATGTGTGAAGGACAATAACTACCTGGACACCCTAAAGCCATGCTTGCTGTTCTGCACACTGCATACCTTACTGAATATTCTATGAATATTGGCTCATGAATGTTGAATTTTGAATGTGGAATTGAGAATGGATATCACAGCACTCGGGACACTCCCATAAGTGCTCCATCCCCATTTTCAGCAGCAAAGCGAAGAGTTCCAATTCCGATGGCACCAGTAAGCGTCTGATTGTATATCGGTCTCATCCTTCCCCTGAGTGTTGAGCGTCGGCCAGATTACTTGGTAACTTCTCGCAGCGCCATTCTCCTCAGACTGTAATGATCTGTCTGCCCCTCCGCACTCTTCACTCGTTCCCAAAAGGGCCCTCACAATATATAGCTTGGCATACATCAATTCACCCTCAAGTGTTGCTAAACCGGCCAGTCTATCTGCCTGCTCATATGATTTACAAGAGCAATCAAACTTGTAGCTGTATTTCCGACTTACTCCGTATACTTTAGAAAAATTCCTGGCCTCCCTTGTGACAACAATTCTATTTTGAATTGTGTTAAGAACCGAAATAAAATAAAAAACTCGGAACATTCCCATAGGCGCTCATCCCCATCTTCAGCAGTCAGCAAAGAGTTCTAATGGCGATGGATACCATCGGAGTAGCAGTTCGATTATACTATCGTCTTGCTGATTCTCGGAGTGCAAGATGTCTTGTCGTATCACCTGGTCACTGCTCGTTGCTTTAATATCTCCAGACTACGATGATCTATTCGAGCTGCCACATTGTCCACTTGCTGTTAAATAGCCTTGACTATATATAGCTTGCCATTGCATCAGTCCACTACCTAATAGTGCAGCACTATCTAATCTGTCCCTCCGTTAATTTTCCAGCACACCCGCACTAAAGATACAAGCGACTCTACCTAACGAGGATCCCTAAAGCGATGCTTGCCACTCTGCACGAAGTATGCCTATGTCGGCATGCAATGTGGTTTTTTTACAATAATGACATGTCTTCGTAGTGGTTCTCAAGCAGAAATTTATATTTCCATGTATACAGTTGATGTTTACGCAACACAGAGCAAGTTGCCCCAATAATTTATAACACTAACTGACTCTAATCAAATAGACATCTGTAATATGGAACCTTCTATACTGTAAGCTCGTGCAACAAATAATAAATGTAACAAACAACATTTGTAGTCAGAAAGCGATCCATACAGTAGTAGGTACTTTCTGTAGTGTAGTCGTATCTTAGGATACCAGGGCACCGTTAATTTTTTTTTTTTTTTAATGTAAGTAGGGGCTTCCTGCCTCAAAAAGCAATAGTGAATATTTAACTTATAAGGACAAATTATCTACTGCACCGAATATTGTATGGTAAATATCGCCAGATCTGTTCAAGTACATTACTTGAGATTTTACATCGATGTGTAATAAAGCAGCAAAATTTGCCAGGCAATAAAATGTGCAATATATATATATATTTTGCCTCCTTTTTTAAAGTTACTTTATATTTTTTTTTAAATTGTCATCGTTTACATTGAATTTGCCATGCCTACATCTAATGCAGACCTGGTGATAACGATGATGATGACGGCGACGACAATGACGACGATAATATGCAGCGTGATGTCTACAGACTCCACATTGAAAACCCATATTGTATAATACTATTTGCTTTTACTTTATTTTGAAGCAGTTCAAATTCGCAGCTGTGCTATTTATTTCCCTAAAATAGCAGTAAATATCATCGTGTGGTTGAATAACCGGATATTAGAAAGCAGATAATCTTGCAAATTGGGAGGAAACAATGAACATGAAGGTAACGATTCATCTCTGTGTCCATGTTTCATAGATGCTAATTTAATGCTACGGACTTGCCGATTGACAACGCTCTTTTTTAAGGGTGTCGATTAAGTCATAAGTCAAAGTACATGGGGTCCCCAAACAATTCACCGTTGTCATTTAAAGAGAGACAGCATGTTCGAGTCCTCTTATGGCAACTACATCTTTCGATTTTTATGTTGTCTAGTGTGTCCTCCAATGTCCACTTTTTTCTATGAGTTGGAATAAATACAGTTTAATTTATTTAATATAATGACGTATCAGTTTTGAGAATGCCAGAAGAGTGTGTGGGTTCCGGGGCCATCTTGTTGGGGCCGGGGGGGGGGAGACAAGAATAAACCCGCTGCCTCCCGAACGAGCATGTCGTAAGAGTCGATTAATTGGGACTTCCTTTGAAGTCGGAGTGCATCTGCCTGATAGGCAAAGAACTAACAATCTGAATACACATAAGTGAGATCTTTAAAACGGATGTGCACTCAACACTCAGGCTCTGGAACAAGACTAAAGTCCAGAGGCGGACAAACAACCACAAAATTGTCGCATGCGTTACAACGAGTGAACGTGTAGAAGAAGAAGACAGAAGATTACAGAACAGGCTATATATATTTACTGGGCAAAAAAAAACACACTGACGAGGGGTGGGAGCTGAAGGCGCCTAATCCTAGTTTAAGAGCATAACAATAATATTCATAATACTGAGCTGAATGGTAAACAGATATAATAAACATTTGAAATCATATCAAATGTATTAACAAATACTCTCATATATCATATCTATACATGGCTGGGAAAAGGGAATGCATTCTTAGCCTTCTTATCGAGAGAGGAGGGACTGAGCAGTGGCGTAGGAAGGAAGAGGCGTGCCGGTCGCCTGGTTGTCATCACTGAGGGAGAGGGGGCGGAATGGGGAAAGGGGAGGGGGGGGGGTTAAAATGACAAATATATGTGTTTTTAACATACAAATGTAAATGAGTGTGTGTGTTGGGTATGGGGGAAGGGTAACCGCCGGACGCTGATGGACCACTGGAACTGAAGCCCCTAAGCATCCCCCACCCTGAAGGGGGGGGGGGGAAGAGGGAATGCCTAGTTGGCCTGTCTCTAGGTTCCAGCGCTCCTTGTACAGAATCATTCCACTGACAACTAGAAGAATGATGATCGGCGGGCATGGAACATAATTCTTCGCTTTAGCGCAGGGCATAAACAGACTGAGAAACCTGTGCACACCTTCTCGGTTTTTTTTTTTTTCGTTACCACTTTGCAGTGTGTAGACTAAGCGAAAAGCTACCCATTTGCTGGACATCTGCAGATTGGTCCTCCATATTGCGAAAAAGATATATGTTTTTTTATTTCTAAGTAATGAAGCCTTTTTATACCATTGCCTCGTCGACATATACATGAATATCCATGTTTGGCAAATCTAACAATTCAGTCCCATTGTTCATTTCACCCTCCCCATTTTTCTTCAAAAGGTTTCAACATTGAAGCTATATAAAATCACCAATGAAACTGTTCATTTAGAAACATTGTTAAAAAAATAAATCTCAAAGACATGCCAGTACTAACAAAGAACACTTACCCGGATCTCCTGGCTTGCCAAATGCTATAAATTCAGGAAATGTGACATTGCCGTATGTTTTAGTCTTACTCACTTCCGTGCAGTCGTCATTAATGATTTCTACTTTATGTTCAACCTGTCCTTTACTAGAATCTCCAACCACTTCATCTTTCAAATGAGCTTCTGGTTGAAACTGTATTTGATCCGCGAGTTTCTCCATGCTCTTTATTGTGTTCCGATGTGTGTGGCTCATTATTATCTCTGTGACTGTCATACTTGCCATTCTGCCCAGTAGTAAAGTTTCTATTAGGGTCAGCCTGCGCATTCAGCTGTGCTTTAGAGAGAGTGTTTAAGCACGAAGGGAATTAATTCTCTTTTCTCGGCGGCATTTTCTGAATCCACACGATCTTTATTTCCAACGTTTATTTGTTGCCTTAAAAAATTATTCGTGAACAATTTCTTTTTGTTGATGCCGTCAATGTTCTTTTCTTCCAGCAAGTCATCTTCTTCAAAATGTTGAGGAAACAAATCAAGCGGTTCCACCTTATTTTGTGATGCAGATTTTGCTGAACGATGCTCGGATTTATACGTGTCAATAGTAATAATTGATGTAAAGATGTAACAATAGGATATCAGTAGTTACAAGTGACATGAAACTAATACAAAGTTTTCTTCTTCTGTATATCATCTTGTTAATATTTGTTTGACGTGGATTATTTTAAAATGAACACCGAAGTTTGGTTCACGTTCTACTTGTTTATACATAGTCACTGATACTGTTCTTATTCGAACTACGGAGCGGTAATTATACGTATATAATTGTCCACACTAAATCGTTTATAAACAAATGAGACTGGAGATGTGCACGAAATCTTGTTGCGTCAGTCAAATTGTAAAAGCTTTTGTAACATATTTCTTGATTTTAAAATCATATCACATTAAAAGCCATCTTAGGAAACGTAACTGTACACAACTTTTCAGTTCTTTTATCAGTGTTCTTTTGTGTTCTTAAACATGTGATACAAGCATATCTGCTTGTTACTGACGTGCCGAATTTTGGTTGCGAAAACACATTTTAATCAGACAGCTTGAGCTCCATTTTCTATACTGATACATGCACAATTTCTAAAACATTACTCCAAGAACCTTAAAAAAAATTAGTATATTATTAACATCTGTAAAACTTCACAAGTAAGGCTAATACTGCAGTGTTAAACCCAGTCACATATAAATTATCACGACTATAGGAAAGTAGCGAACAAAGTATGGAGTTTGAAGCGAGTAATAATCGAACTTCTGAGCTCGTACTGTAAGATTAAATTTACTGCGTGAGAATAACATTCACATGTATCGTCGACAATATGAAATATGCAGAGATTATAGAGTACGCTAGAGAAAACGAATCATCTGTAAAATTGGATGTTTGGGACAGACTGCCAGTAAAACACAACAACTAGCTGAAAAATAATGGCGGCGTCTTTCTGATGAAACACTTACTGTCAGAAAGAAGAATTTCATCACTTGGAAGATCAGATTTGAACCCAGTGTGCCTATATCTTTAAAGTAAAAAGTCCTTTTTCATACCTTTAGCATATTGGAAGAGCACCCATATTTTTACAGACTATTTTGGCAATAGGTAGATAATGTGGTCAGCATTACGCCGGCCGTCTTTACTTCCACAGGACATACATCCTAATACCCATTTCAGACTGGGTCGACCTGCGATGCCCCATACCATGATACAAATCCAAGCGGCCAGCAGTCGGTTTCGATCGCGGTACGTTGGAATTACGAGTCGGACTCGCAACTCCTAAGCCACGGACGCCGCTGCCTATATCTTGCATGTTATTTATTGCTTCTATAATCTCTGCTCCGCTCTTTTTTTCCTCTGAGTGCTCAGAAATGTGTGTAGATTTCTTTTTCATAATAGTTGAATGACTTGGAGCAAACTCCATCAGTTTAGGTTTTTGCGAATTACACATAAATATTTGGGTTTTTGCTTACAAAAGAGCAATCATAATCAGATATAAGAATGCCCGTTTGGATTCAGGGACCTCACTGAGAAAAAATATGGGGAGAAAGGGGAGGGGTGTAGATAAGAAAATATGCCCCCTAAAAAGCATGTCGTAAAAGGCGATAACCTAGGGTTTTGTTGAAATCGAGTGTTTTTTCGAAAACTGCTGATATCACAGCCCAGTTATATATCACACCACTACGTGCCAACCGCTATCTTAAGGGCGAAACACGGGGGGAAGGGGAGAAAAAAACAAGAAATATACAAGAAAGAAAAGAAAATTGCCTGCTAGGCTCTGGATTACAAATTTAGAATACCTGAATTCAAGAGTGATTACTATAACATAATCTATACTACTGTATGAAAGACAAACGTCTGTGTGTGTATTCACCCAAGTAAGTAATGTGGCAACAATACCAATTATTACTACTTGTTATCTAGTAACCTATTTGTGTATGCACTAATTTCGCGAATACTACAAGCCATAAACAGTTAAAAGGACCCTTTTCCACGTCTTCGGGTGTATTGGGTATATAAGGCTAAATATATTTTTTTTAGACCAATCGGCACTTGGTTGGTAATGTGGTCAGCATCACACCGGCCGCCTTTACTTCCCAGGACTGCACCTGGTACATACTCAGGTCATTTTTGAAAAATAAAAGTCAGGACCAGACCCCAGAACCTTCCAATTCGCAGACAGGCGTCTATGCGCTACACCACGGCGATCTCAGTAATTATGGTCAAATCACAAACACGGCTCAAAGGTCCATGTCCATTCTACAAACAAACAAAAAAAATTTTATTCGACCACATTCAACCAGCAACACTGCCTACAGTTTCAGTAGATTATATTTATGGTCTGGTTTATGTGTACCAAGTGTTTGGCTAAGACTGTGGTATGTGTGCCCTGTTGCTGGCTCTGTGTCCCTAACCAGATAAATTGTCTTCTCCTCCTTGTCTAGGTTTCACTGCGGTCTTTTTGTTCTTGGCTTTTGTGTGTTATCTTCGGTCCGGCTGAGTCTCCCTAACGTATTTTGTAAGGCTCAAATAGGCTATTACATCTTCTGATAAATGCAAGGCTTTTGTTTTTTCCTCCTAGCGGTGCGAGCGGTAAGCAGTACCGGAAACCTTTTTTTTAGGCTTAACTCTTTAATTGCTACTGTAATTGGCCTATTGCGGTAAGTAACATAATTCATTTTCCTAGAACACAAGCTCCTTGTATGTGTTCTGTTGCCAGTGCTGAATTTGTGCATGAGCTAAACAGGGTACAACCTCTCACAGTCTGCAAAGATCCCAAAACAAAAATCCCGCCAACCCCCACCCCCACCTTTCCCCTTAACCTCCCACTGCCACCAATGTAGTTTTCTTTAATTAATATTCAGTTCTGCCTATCTAAATGTTCTTATTTTATTACTGGGGAGCGGGGCGGAGGGGGGGGGGGGGTGTTCGGTGTTGTCTTGGGTTTTCGTTAATGCTAACCTGTTGTGGCTCAGTTTACTTGTATAAAATAATCCGCTGAGTTTACATAAAGCAGTAGACGAAAGAGTCTCCACACGATGTTTATATTAACCTCACGAGTGAACTGGATGACGCTCATAATTAAATCAAGCTGAATTATACTGAAAAACAAAACACAAATTTAACACAGCCAGGTGTTTCAAATTATTTTTCAAAACAAGATTCAGTTAGTTTTAATGTGGTAGCAAAATTATGAATATTTCTACGTTTAATGGCAGCAACTGTTAAAGAGAAAGATCATTTTTAAAACTAAAGACAATAAAAGACGAACTGAAAGCAGCTATGTCTCCAAAAACACAAAATATTGTCTGCACTGAGCATCATGTGTATAGAATGCGACATGTTGGACAGCATATCTTTTGATGTTTTAAAAAATGATTTTGTATTTGAGAAAATATGGGAAAAAATATCAGCTGTAACATAAAGCTTTTTAAAAGCCTATGTAATATAGGTTCTGTGTTTTTACAACACATTCATTGTTATTTCTTAGAATACAAAATAAACGAGTATTCATTTTATTATCCGTGTATTTAAAAAGCTTATATAAGATATTATAAACACACCATATAAAATATATATATATATATATATATATATATATATATATATATATATATAAGTTTTGTTAGATTAACTGGTGTGATTAAACACGAAAGGGACCTCCAAGCTTTATATAGCCTAGGGCCTGGTCAAGTTTAAAGTAGTGTGTTTTCTGTGCGGGTGTGTATATTTGTATGAGTGTATATGTGTATGTGTATATGTGTGTATGTGTATGAGTTGTGTGTATATGTGTATGAGTGTATTTGTGTATACGTGTATGTGTGTACATGTGTATGTGTGTATATGTGTATGTGTGTATCTGTGTATGTGTATACATGTGTATGTGTGTATACGTGTACATGTGTATGTGTGTATATGTGTGTGTGTGTGTACTTGTGTATATGTGTATATGTGTATGTGTGTACATGTGTAAGTGTGTATATTTGTATATGTGTATGTGTATACATGTGTGTATATGTGTTTGTGTGTATATGTGTATGTGTGTATTTGTGTATATGTGTATGTGTGTATATGTGTTTATGTCTACACTTATGTGCTAGATGTATCGCCAAATGCATACAAGATCTTGTAAGTAATGGCTCAGATCAGAAAAATGAAAGGTTACGGTAATCTAAAACCGAATCCACTTTCCGATGTTGATCGGAGGCAACAGATGTGAAAGCATCGATAAGTGATTTCAAAAGAATAAACTTTAAAATATTTCCTTGCCCCCCTCAACCAGCACTACCACCCCAGATCACCACCACTATCACAAACAACATATGCCCACACCCTGCCGGTATCACAGAAAGATGGCTATGGTAGGAACGATATCAGGAGTATAATTATAACTGGATGTGCTACTGCACAAAATTCGATTGTAAATGTTTCAAACTCAGAGGCTTATGTTTCTTAGATGTTCCAGATGGCGCCGATGATTGTTTAAATATCGATAGCTTATTTGATAAAGAATATGTACTCGCTTTTGAATTATAAAATGTACTGAATGATACATTAGATACACAATAGAGTAGACGTAGAACAAAACAAAAAACTACAAAGAGCCATAGTGAAGAAATAAAATGAACACATATCAATAGGTGGGCCATGCAAAATGTGGAATGACAGCATAACCATGAGCCTTTACATACATGAAGATCAACTCATGTAACTCATTATAAAGAACACACGGAAGATCTTTACATCTCACACAACACTTCGATGATGTAACTAGAGAAAGAGAGGAAGAAGGG